ACAATGGTAGGGGAAAGTCCCGCCTCCTTCACCTCTGATTAGCTGTGAAACGTCATCACACGCTCAAGCCAAATGGGGGCTGTTGGCTCTGTACATCAAACAGAACATTAAAGAACATTATTGCAATTCTGAATCTCCTAACCCTAACCCGACAGTTGATGATGTTTCACAGCCATTGGGAATAACCAATCGGAGCCCAGCACTTCCAGTCAATCAGAGGCAAAGGAGGGAGGGACCTTCCCCTACTATTCCACAAAAAAAAAAAATTGCGTCCCGGACAGCTCCTATCGGTCAATCTCCCACTCCACCTCTCTATTCAATCACCTTGCTGTAATGTCACACCCCTCTCCCGTAGCTCCGACTCGTCCCCTCCCACTCTCCCGGCCCTAAAAGTAATGTAGCAGCTTAGCTACAGGAGCTGTGATAGAGAAAGATGCAAAAAAAAAAAAAAAAACACTTCTGCTCACCACACCGCCAAAAGTGGGAAGAAAACGCAAGCGGACAGAAGAAAGGGCGGAGTCGAAGAGGAAATGTGACCAAGCGAGGAATCTAACTGGAATAAACATCGGGTCATCCTTGGAGTGGTGGAGAAAGCTCCGCCAGGATTTGGTCCTGAAAACAGACGCTGAGACAGCAGAGTTTTTGTTGAACAGGTCATTTTTATCGCCTTTTATCGTAGCACGTTACATAAATAACTCTTATTAGTCTCTGCAATGTCAACATGGTAGCTGTGTGGACACTCAGGTCACGTTCATCGGACCTATACGTCATTAATATGCGACAAACGTCACCATTGTTTGACAACACAAACGGGCGCGGAAAGCAATTTGTGCTTTGTGCGCATGCGAGTCACTTCACATTCCGTTCACATTGGATGCCGCATTTGTTGTTGTAATGTGAATAACCATACAAAAAGATCGGATTTAACAAAAATCTTAATTGTGCATCATAACCTGCCATGTGAACGTAGCCTAAAAGTCAGGTGCAAAATTTTGAGGGGTTTTTGGGTTGGGTCGAGTGTTTTTTATGCGCTTTTAACTCAGTTAGTCAATGGTACACAAACTTAAAACTTTCATACAAAACCTGTTGTTGTCTTTCTTAGTAAAATGAAGCCACACTTGGTACGAATGGTACGAAAAGTTTCTGCCAACTGTTCGTACCATTCGCCATGTTTTTTTCCTCAAAATCTTTCTTCCCGTTTGCATAGACTGGCTCTCACGAGACCGTTTTTCTAGGCACCAGGAAGAAAAGAATTGTTAAGATAAAATGTAAATGATGTCGATGGATTGAACCATTTGGAACTGGTTCTCAACACGAACTGGTTCTTGATTCCCATCCCTACTAGTCACTAACAATCTAACGTGGTGAATCCTATTTGAAGCTAGTGATCTTCTGCCGGCCAGCTTCTTGCTCTGCCAGAGGGGGCGTCCTGGGGAGGGCAATACAGGTTTGGGGGGGAGTTATCATGGAGCACAGAGGGGAGGGGTTTGTGTGTGGGGGTGGGACGCTTCTTCAAATCTGCCTCAACGGCTCAGTTTTTTTCAAGTAGGACTTTAAGTCAAAAATGAACTAAATTGTCCTCAAAATGATGAAACTTTTCGCTCTTTTCTCAGTGTTACCGTGTTCGCAGAAACAGGACAGAAACACCGAAGTTTTGCAGTTCGTTAAAACGACTGAAATCGGGACCAACTCAGGTATGTGAACGCTCACCTGCAGGGAGGACTGAAGGCTAACCCTGCTGACCAGTCTGAGATCCATCACACCTGCAGACCGCTCTCTCCGCACAGACGTGAAGCTGTGATGGATCTGCACGTCCAATCCTCTGATTTCACTCAGAGCAGAACTTTACCTCCTAAAATAAAGCCCGTTAAGCAAGCTGTTAATAAAGCGTTCAGTGTAAATAAAGCTGTGTCGCCGTCTGTGATGTTTCCACCACGGAGCCAGCGAACAGTTTGCGGTTTATAGATTTCAAAAACAGCCGAGCAGGATACTGCAGCTGCTGACTCTGACGGCTTGAAGGAATTAGTGAAGGAAGAGCGTTTCGTCCATTTATTGTTTAATGCCACATTAGCAATCTGCAGCGCGGCGGACTCCCTGCCAGCGGAGGCAGCTCGGGGCAGATGGGCCGCTCTGTAAGATGGATCCACTGCCACATAAATCCCCCGCTGCCATCAAAAGCCAAAGAGAAACAGCTCGAGCGGCGTGTTATGGTGGGTCCAAGTCTGCTGCCAAAAGAAGCAGTTCATGCTTTTTCCCAGTTCAGACATTTGAGGGATAGATTCAGATGTTTTCTCTCATTAGTATTACTGGAACAAACAGAAAGCACTTACTGTCTCCCAGCATCCACAAACACATCATTACGCTGCAGATGTGCCACGCTCACTCTCTCGCTCGCTCCTCGTCTCTCTTTGTCTTCCGTAATCAGACGCCATCGTAAAGATTTCATGACACACATCCATCAGAGGGTCTCCTAAAAAAAACAGCTGCTGTTGGACTCACACCTGAACCACCTGAGCTGACCAAGGCAGGTGGGACGGACAGACAGAGGAGGACACGTGTGGAGGCTGACCATGGCACCTGTCTGAGGTCACACCTGAGGGTTCGACATCTAACCCCCAATTTCCACCACATCGAGAATGTCTACTAAAAGGTCATATCCTCCGATCGTAGCTGATCGTAACCATTCAAGTTATCATGTCAATTTCCACCGGCTTCTTTACGTTCCTCTGCGGATTGCCGGACTCCACAGCTGATCACAAGAGTTCTATTTTTTCTCGGACGCAGGAGCATGCTGGATAAATTCAACACAGATTAACCCGTTCTGGAAAGGAAGTCAGGCACAGACACAAAATAAAACATCCAGCTTCTTTTCAAAGTAAAACACTCCATGTTTCAGGAGGATCGTATTTCACACCATGCAAATGGGCGGAGACGAACAAGTGAAGGGTTTTTAGACATTTCACCCTGATGACACCATGGATGAGGAGATGCTGATTCTAGAAGTCTAGAAGTAGATTTCCTCCTCTGGAAGGACACAATCTACTGCTTATATGTCTATGTGTCTGTTAAAGTTAATTTATTGAGTAAATGTGAAATTTATGAGACTGAATAAAACTCTGAAAGTGTCCAGATGGGACAGATCCTGGACTTGGAGAACTCTGAGTCCAGACCTCGGTCCTCCTTCAGACCCAGTAACTGAAAACTGTGATTTCCTCTAATGAAACCATGGAGGGGGGGCCTGTTTTCTCCTCCGCTGCCATAAAACCTCACACTGTTGTCGGATCAATCAGTAAATTACCTTTTGAACCCGCCCTTACAAACTATAATCTGTAGCTGCCTCCTCCCAGCATGCACCAGGACAAGAGTATCAGTGCGAGCAGACGTCAGTGGGCGCTGCGCTTCATTCTGTCTCCTCCACAAACACAATTGACTTGTCATGTATTTTCCAGATAATTAGCCGCTTTAAATCAGGCGCAGTGAGGCCGCCATTGATAAGAACACAGCATGCTAAATTGACCGTGTAATGCTGCCATTCATTCAGGGACAATGACCCCCTGTAGTCATAATGGGGATTAATTAAAAACGCTTAGGGAGAGTGATGATGGGGCAGAGAGCATTCTCAGCACTCTTTCTCTGATTGGTGGGTTTCTGTGAATGTGTCGGGGTTAACAGTCGGGGACAGGGACGTGGGGGGGGGGGGGGGGGGCGCAGTAAAAAGAGGAGGGGGGCTTTTGAAGAAAAGGCCGTAAAAACAGGGCGAGAGGTTTCTAATCATGTAAAAACAGAAGAAGTGGAAGAGAGAGACACATGCACTCGTTTTTTTGACTTTGTCTTTAAAATAAAAAATAAAAACATGCACTCGTTTTTATTAAAATCTGTCCATCTGTAAGGGAATAAAAAACATGCCCTCATTTTTATTAAAATCTATCTGTAAAGGAAAAAACAAAACAAAAAAAAAACAGCACTCGTTTTTTTCTTTTACTCCATCCATCTTACAATCCATCTTTTTTTACTCTGTCCATCTGTAAAGGAAAAAAACAAAAACATGCACTCTTTTTTTACTCTGTCCATCTATAAAGGAAAGAACAAAAACATGCATTTATTTCTTTAACTCTGTCCATCTTTAAAGGAAAAAAAAACAGAAACATGCACTTGTTTTTTTACTCCGTCCGTCTTTGAAAGGAAAAAACAAAAACATGCACTTGTTTTTGTTTTTTAACTCTATTCATCTTTAAAGGAAAAAACAAAAACATAAACTTGTGTTTCTAATTAGTCCATATTTAAAGGAAAAAGAAAAAAACAGAAACATGAACTTTTTTTCTTTCTTTTTTTTACTCCATCCATCTTAAAGGAAAAAAACAAAAACATGCACTTCTTTTTTAACTCTGTCCATCTTTAAAGGAAAAAAACTGAAACATGCATTCTTTTTCCTTTACTCTGTCTATCTTCAAAGGAAAAAACAAAAACATGATTTTGTTTTTTTTTAATCTGACCATCTTTAAAGAAAAAACAGAAAACATGCACTTGTTTTTGTTTTTTTAACTCAGTCCATATTTAAAGGAAAAACAGCAACATGCACTTGTTTTTTTTTACTCATTTCCTTTATTCCCCCCCCCCCCCCCGTTCAGAGTATTTAGAGCCCCCCTGTGTCCGCCCCCCCCCCCCGTCCATTATCCTCTGTTGTGTTTCTAAGTGTCCCTGAACGCACCATGTGATTACTTCAGGTTCTGTGGAGCTTCTCTTCTGTGATCACATCCTGAGGGTCTCTGGGGGGGCTCACAGAGGACCTGTCTGTCTCTGAGGATGAGGACAGGTGGGTATGTGTTTGGGGGGGTTGTGGGCCTCCTCTCTCCCTTAATTCAGTGACCATTAGAGAGCAGATTTGTTATTGCTCAGCTTTAGAGGCTCTGACAGAAGCGTTTAGCTGCAGGACGTCTCCTCCTCCTCCACCTCCACCTCCTCCATTGGGAATCTCTGCCTCTCAATCCTTCCTCCCTCAGCCTCCTTTTCCTCACTCCTCCTCCTCTATCACTCCTCCAGCAATCAGGAGGCCTGAAATTGGCTGAGAGGATTCCCCATCATGGAGCTCCTGATTCGGTTGATCACTTTTCATCAGTAAATGAGGAGGAGCAGAAGGAGCTGAGGTCGGATGGAGGAGCGCTGAGCCAGCAGGAGTGATCCTCTCCTTCACACACTGCAATCAAATTAACTGAAGATAATATAATTACCATGACGCCATTGATCAGAGGGCCAAACACCTGAATTAACCTGGAGGAGGAGAGAGGAGAGAGGACAATCCTGATGACAATCATACAACCTGAGAACCATGTTTTTTCAGAACTAACACTAAGTTCTTGTAAAGTTCTCCTCCTGAACAGGTCTTCAGTTTGCTGAAGTAACCACATCAGGATGCAGATCAGTCGAGAGTCCAAAGTCCACCTCCAGAAGAGAAGGAAACCACTTTGAACGTGGAGGTCAGATCAGACTTAATGGCTAATTATTTAAGGGTTAAAAAAAATTACCTTGGACTTGTGAAAAAGTGCAGCAGTCAGTGGAGCTGAGGTTTTGTCTTTGTGTTGGAGGTTTGAGTCCAGGTCCTGGTCTTGTAGTGACCCCTCAGTGTCTGTAAAGCGGCTCTGGTTTTCTCTGATCAATATGATGTTGAAACGAAGCCTCTCTGACTCTGATGTTTGATCATCTCCTCCTCCTCCTCCTCAGGTACCGATGCACTGGTCTGTTTTTCTTCCTCCTCTGTCAGCAGCTCTGACCTTCCCCCTCTTCCTCTCCCCTCCTCTCTCTCCTCTCTCTCTCTCTCTCTGTGACAGCGGCGCTGAAGGACGTCCTGATCAGCTGACTCTGCACTTCCTGCCCGCCTCAATACGGCGATGCTTGCCAAGGTGTGAGAGGTCCAACTGCGGCGTGGACGGTTGATGAAGCAGAGGGATCGATGGAGCGAGGAATGATGAAGAAATGAGAGGCGGAGACAGACAGGCTGCAAAAATGAGAGTGTCAGTTTTTGTGTGAGGATGAAGAGCAAAGAGAGATACAATGAGGAGGAGGAGGAGGAGAAGGAGGAGGAGGTGATCGATACCTGAGATCACTGCATGTGCATCAATACCAGCTGAGGATCTGAAAACCAGGTCTTGGGGTCTAAAAGATGTCCTTTAAAAACCGTCTGATGGTTCTCACAGTCTGAAGACAAACACGCAGGCACAGATGATTGATGAGTGTGTGGAATCTAAGCGTCTCTCTGTGTCTGTCTCCAGACGGCGAAGGTTTATTTGTCTTCATATCGGGCGAGTCTGTGTTTACGTTCAGTCTCAAAGGAACCACATGTCCTGAGAAACGACCCGCCCCCCCCACAAAGACACAAATATGAAGTCCTGCTCATCTTTAAACGCTCAGAGATTGGCTCTTACAGTGGGAACAGGACCAAGAGGACCCAGAACCACCAGAGACTTCTCTGGACCTTAGTCCGAGGAGAACTGTCCTGATGGATCAAATTTTGACATTTGTTTGGAAAGGACAACTGGACTTAGTTGAGACGTTTCACCTAAAGTGAAACACGATGAGAAGTCTCATAATTCCTATCTCAGAATTCAAACTTTCTTCTAGTGATGGGAAGAACAGTTCATTTGACTGTACTAAATCTTTAGAATCCGTTCATTAAAATGATTTGTTTAAAAGATTCGTTTACTGACTGATACATATTGTTCATTTTCTGTAAGCAAATCACAAGACTACGACTGCTCGCTGGCTGGCTGGCTGTTTGTCGTTTGCCAAAGAGTCAAAGGCAGCAGTTCCACTCCTGACCGGCACGCCAGGCTCACAGCTGAGCTCAACTGAACTGAGAAGGGAACCAATCAGGTCTCAGAGTGATTCAGTTCACGTCGTTCACTCAGCAGTTCAGTTCTTTTGAACGAAACAATCATGAACGACACAACACTAGTTTCATCTCAGAAATTCTTCTATCTCAGAATTTCTATTATCTTCTGAGATAAAAGAAATTCTGAGATTAAAGACAGAATTCTGAGATTAAAGACAGAATTCTGAGATAAAAGGAATTCTGAAATAAAAGTCGGATTTCTGAGATTAAAGTCAGAATTTCATTTATCTCAGAATTCCTTTTATTTTAGAATTCTGAGATAAATGGAATTTAAAATAAAAGTCGGAATTCTCAGATTAAAGTCATAATTTCTTTTATCTCAGAATTTCGTTTAACTCAGAATTTCTGTGATCTCAGAATTCTGACAAACACAAATATGAAGTCCTGCTCATCTTTAAACGCTCAGAGATCAGCTGTTACGGTGGGAACAGAACCAGGAGGACCTGGACCTGAGTCTGAGGAGAACCGTCCTGATGTCTGATGGATCAAAATTTGACATTCTTTGTTGAAAAAACAACTGGGCTTGTTGTCCTTTCAACATAGAATTAGAAATCCTAGATGCTGTGTCCTCATTCTGACAACAGTATGGCTCTGTAGGAGAAGAGTCCTGGACTGATGTAGTCCTGAAAACAGGACTACAGAGACCTCCTCCCAGTCCTCTCAGAGGTCCTCCTCCTTCGGTCCGCAGCCGTCCAGCATTTCTTAGCAAATTGATTTATTTCACATTATTAATGAACTTTGCTGCAGTTCCACTTGTCAGCTGAGGCTGTGAGGGTCAATAACGGAGGAAACTTGATGTTAGTGGATCGGCCTTAAGTGATTCTGTCGCACTAACGATTCAATATATCAGGACAAATGTCAGCTGATGGTAATATGTTGATTCTGTGCTGGGATCTGCATAAGCTCTGCATTCAGCCAGCTCTGCTGCTGTATAATCACCAGGTTGAAATTCTGCTGGATAAATATTTCATGCAGAGACCCCCTGATCTCTGAATAAACCAACAGTGCGGGGACTCTGAGCGCTCAATCAATAAATAAAGCAGCAATGTGAAAAGTGTCTCATAAAAACTCATAATTACAGCCTTTAAATCGGGGAATAGTCTGACATGGATGTTTGCATGCTCTGCAGGGAGGTGTACGGGCGGGGGAGGTGGGGGAAAGAGGGGAGGGGGCGTGTAAACACTTAAGGTGACTAAACTGCTGGCTCCAGTATTCTGGCCGGCAGCAGAAATCGGTGCGATGGATCGGAGGGGAGAGATTTAGTCGCAGGTGGCAGAGGTCGCTGGATTGTGTATTCTGTGCAGTCAATAATAAAGTTAGGACTGATGCCCACGGAAACTTAATGAGCAATCACAAGGACCTTGGAAAGTCATTTGCATCTGGGCACGGGCTCCTCTCTGTGGCTGGAAGGGGCCCTGGGGACACGGAGGGAAACAGTGAAACTGCAAAGCAGGAGAGACGGTGAGGGAAGCTGGACGAGGGACAGAGGACGCAGCACACATACCAACCAGAACCAGAACCCAACACCGTCTGTGTGTTTCTACTCGATCAGATTTAGTTCTGTCACTTCTGCTCCACAAAGCTGTGGGCTGATAAACCCGAACTTAATTTAATTTAATTTAGTTAACAAACTTACCAGAAAGCCCAACATCATTGGCCACCTTCGCCCATGCTTCCTCCTTGGAGGTGTGGTCCCGGTAGAATGCGCACCCCACGTCATAAAGGACCAGGTGAAAACTCACGGCAGTGATAAGCTGCTCCTCCACTGTGATTCTTCTTCTCCTCCTCCTTGCTTCTCCGGTATGTTGACGTCAGAAGAGCCCTGATTGGCTGTCACGGCATGGAGTAGCAGAAAGTTGCTCCCAAAGTTCAAATATTTGAACTTTGGGAGTGACGTGACTTGGCATTCTGCGATCTTGGGCGATGCGACGTTGGCGAACATGCGCGAACTGGTCACGTAGGTCGCTCACGTTGCGTCGCTGGTGGTCGCCTAGTCGCGTCAGGTCGTAGCTGTACATAGACTTTGCATTGGAAGTCGTTGCTCAAGTCGCCGAGGTTGCGTTTGGTCTGAACGCGGCTTTACAGGCAGCTCTGAGGTCCGGGTTCATTTTAGCCCTGATGGTTCACCTGCTGGAGAGGCAGAATTATGCTGCGTTCCTGTTACCTCAAACATCGGATGTTGGAACTGGGAATGACGTCACACCTGAGTTACCGGCGTTTTAGTTACCAAGTCAGAAAAAAGCAAAATCGGAGGTGGAAACAAGATGGCTACATCTACGAAAGTTATTTTAGCGCTTGCCTTGTCCAAATAGAAGCAGCTTCTGGACAAATATATGAGGCTAGTTGAACGTTAGTTATACACTACTTCTGTTTACACAAAGTTGCGTACAACTGATGTTCAACTAACCTCGTTAAACGTTTTAACTGTGGGTTGGAGAAAAAATTTAGAAAATTAATAATTTGTGCATTCATAATCCAGAGGTCACTCACTCAATCGTAGGCTACTATTTATAACCCTTCTTCGTATAAAAAGGTCACTGAAAAAACAAAAACAAAAAAACACCGGCTGAAACTACCAGGCTCCGGTTAGCTGTCGTTAGCCGCTGTTACCACGGCTGGCTTTGTAGTTCGCATATAAATATGAAAAATGTAAATTACACCATGACAGCATTTCCATATGTATACATCTAATAATACTTTTGTAGCACAAGCCTCAGGCTAACTTATTGCGAAAATATATAGTGAAAAGTGTTAATTAAAGGATTATAACAGGAGCTTCAACTTATAGTTTACAACCGGCGCTGCCATCTTTAAACGTTAACTCAGTGGCTTTGTTGATCGTCCAACTTTCCGAGTCGGAAATCAGAGCTCATAAATTCCTACCTCAGAGAACAACTGGAACGCACCATTAGTGACAACTGTGGGCGTAGTTAATTACATCATAAAGGCCATGCCCACTCTACACCCACACCCACACATCTGGCCCTTCAAAATACTACTGCCTGTTTGATGGGGAATAAGGCGCCGCCATGTTACAAACATTCGAGGCAGTAACTTCTTGTTGCCAGGAAGTGGCGCTGTCTTATTCTAACATGGAAGATTGTGCAGATATGTTGATGTCGGGCTGAGCGACAGCAGTTTGAAAATTTATGGCAAGCTGTCATGTCAAAGTTGATCTTTATTAAATGTAAATGTTATTTATTCATACAGCCCTTTACAACAACCCTTTCGGTGAACCAAAGTGCTTTACAATACATAGAAAATAAAAATGAATAAATAAAAACAATTTAATCAATAAAAAGAGAATAAAATACAATGCAATAAAATAAAGTGTCACCACGCTACTGGGTATTAAAAGCCAGCATAAAAAAATACGTTTTTAATCGAGGTTTGAAAAGGCCCAGGTCAGAAATAAGTCTCATTTCAGCTGGGAGTTTATTCCAGAGCCTGGGACCAGCTACTGAAACGTCTCGGTCACCCCAGTGTTTGTGTTTTGACCTGGGCACCTCCAGCAGAAGTTGATTTGATGACCTCAGAGCTCTACCTAAAAGCTTAGTTAAATAGATGGAGGCGAGGCCGTTAAGAGCTTTAAAAAGAAACGTTAAAAGTTTAAAATCAATCCTAAAAGAGACGGGAAGCCAGTGAAGCTGAGGACAGGAGTGATGTGCTCACGTCTGTTAGGGCTCTATTTTCGTGCCTCGCCGGAGACGTGCCACAGGCGTGGCGTAAGTCAGGTCCGCTACGCCGACAAGGCGTTCCCAAGCACAATTTGGTATTTCGGTGAGTGGCGCAGCCCGGTGTAAGTATCCCCCC